ATACATACATACATACATACATACATACATACATACATACATACATACATACATACATACATACATACATACATTTACACACACAGACACACAGTACATATAAACCCATTATGGAAAATGAAAATAATGACAAAAATAAATATTTCAGTAGTTTATTTACTATTTTTAGTGCATCAACATTAATTTCAGCTTATTCACAGCAATAAACACACAGGATAAAACTAGTGAGAAAGCAAAAAACCTGCAACTTATGCAACGTTACAATAATAAACTTYAAATGTTTAGCACACCTGCTTCAACTTGATAAGTTAACCAACCTCTTTTATTCTTAATTTCACAAACATGATGTCAACCCCAGCTTTTAAAACTCCATTTAAAAGTAAAAATGTTATGTTGAGTTCACGATCAGAACCTAACATAGCAGTGTTTTAAGGTATTAATTCTTTTTTTATAAATTATTTTCGTATTACCATGAAGTTCAATTCTCTGTAGCGCACTTAACAACAGCGCTGTCAATAAACGAGTTTGTTCCAGGAACACGTCAATAACACTTCATTTAAACAAAYGCACACAAGCATGTAGTTTCAACTGTCAGTGTCTTTCTACCTTTCAAATTAGAGAAATGAAGCCATATAATATCTACATGAACAATATTTTCAGCTCAGACTTATTTTTTTTACCTTTAAGCTGTCTCAAGCTTCTTAATTTTTATGATTGTCCAGACTTATTGCAGATATTAATTTGCGTAGATTCTCATTTTTAAAATCTGTTTTAATCTGATATTTTTCGGTATATAGACTTAGGTCAATTTAGCACAGCATGTTAGCATGAAGCAGCAGTTATTACTGGGTTAAGTTTGTCTGTCAGGTCTGAAACAAACAAAACATTATAAATACTGGCCACAGGAACATTTACATATTTACAGTTAGCTACAGTTTGCATACAATACATTATGAAATCAATTCGTACCATGTCAAAATGTGCCACTATACACTTTGCTATTTTTAACAATAAGCTAAGATGCTGAGCTAAGCCTTTTTTTTTATTTTCAGGTCAGACCATGAAACATAACAGCAACATCTGAAGAACTGACCAGTTATTATGACCACCTCTCATGTCTTCATGTGATGAGAAATACACTCTGAGCTTAGAGCAACTTTTTTTCCCTCGCATTTGTGTTCCTCTTTACTAACGACTCACGCTACACATCTTTCTTCAGTTTGTTGAGGAACCAAATCAAGCCTTGGTGAAATTCATTAGGTTTGTCCATGTAGCAGGCGTGGCGAGCTCCATCCAACTTAAGCACTTCGTGATTAGGAAGTTGTATGAGGTTCTTGTGGGACTGGGCACCCAGATTTGTGTCCAGAGCTCCAAACACAATCAGAGTGGGAGTCTGAAAAGAACACAACAGAGATGTCAGGGAGTAGGAGGGAAATTAGATTATTTAAAAAAAGGTGCAGTGTAAAGATAATTCAAATAATGTCTTACATCTTAGTTTACAAGATGCCTTGAAAAATAAAAATAAATAAGAGCATGATTGAGAACAAAAGACTTTAAAGTATAAACAAAAATATGATAAAAATCACACTTTTCTTTACATGGGGGAATTTAAAACTTAACCCTTTTATCATAACCATAATCCCTTATTCTGTACATAAGATACATTTAGGCAAATTTGTGAGATAAATGTCCTTCAATTTTCTTGCTTACTGCGTAACAACATAAAATGTTACCTAAAGGAATTCAATTAAAAAAGTCCAAAGAGAACAATTATCATGACAACAAAAATACATTAAAAAACTGATACTGTGAAAACAGGCTTGAAACTTGAAGAAAATAAACTTTTCATTAAATTTAGTATTTAAGTTGAGTTTGTCCTTGCAAGGTAATTATAATTAATCACAAACTAATTCCTTTTTGATGCCACAATTTATACAAGCCCAAAATAATTGTTCCCCTCTCATAATGGCAAAGTTTTCTTTAATAATGTTAAAGAAATTTAGCCTCATGACCATACATCCATTTCACTCACCTGAATCTTTTTGTACTGCTGCGGGGAGTAACTCCGGGTGCCGACTGGTGCTATAGGAATGAAGCCACGCAGCTGTGCGCTGTTCTTCATGAGGAAAGGGAGGGAATAATGTCCGCTCATTGAGGGGCTCAAAAGCACAGCTGCTCTGACACCCAAAGACTCCATGAACCTCGACAGAAGGTCCACCCGGCTCTGGTCAGTCTTCAGCGCCTCAGAGTCGGGTGATTTTCCATATCCTTGAAGAGGATTATTATTCATTTAGTTTCAGACACTGTTCAGTAATTAATAAAGATTGAGCAGTAAGAACATTTTCAGCCACAAGAGGGCGCTCTCAGCTCAAAAAAGCCAAGCAAACAAGCACAACAGCTGAAACATACTAGGGTCTGTATGTTTTAAAAAGAAGTAAAGCTTGAGATAACTGAGTCAATATAAAAGTCAACATTTATTACCACTCACTATTATTCTATTTTTTCATTAATCTCAAGCAAAATGTTGAAGTTCTTTATTTAATGCTTATTATTTTTAGATTAAACTTTGAGTATTGAGGAATGAATTCACTTTACATAGTTGGAACATTGTAAACAGTTCCATATAATGATTATCATCACTTACCTGGTAAATCCATCGCTAGGGCCTGATATCCATTAGCTGCCAGCAGGGCCATGGTACCCACTTCCTCCCAGGTTTTGGAGGTGAAGGCCTGGCCATGAAGAAGAACCACCTGCAGCCTTTAAAGAAACATGATTTTCTTACTCAGTATTTTAGAACTAATATAATCCAGTCATTTTTCCATGTTTTTATGTTAACAAGCTCTTGCTGAACAGTTTCTAGTTAAAATGTATTAAACAGGTCTTTTCATAAGTCAGCTCACCTGGGTAAAATTTGCTGTCCGGTTTTATCCACTGGTAAAGCCTCTCTGAAAAACAACGGAGGGTCTCCAGGTAGCTGTCCAGTGCGAATGGACACATTGATGGTCGGAGGCCCGGGGGGAGCAGGGGCCAACAGCCCCATTTTCTGAGCTGCGATGGATGGCTCCATGYTGCCCTGGCGAATGGATGGCAGCAGCAGGTACAGCAACAATGTAGCCAGCAACACCAGGCCCAAAACAACAAGACGATTACGCAAGAAATTCATTTCATCTAGACGAAAGTCCTGGAAAAACATAAATAATGCATCATGTAGTTTGCCATCATCAGTGCGTGAATGGGTGAATGTCTGTAAGTGTAAAGTGCTTTGGGGTCCAGAGGGACTTGATAAAGCACTCTATAAGTTCAGTCCATTTACCATTTATTATCATCTCAAAGCCCTTTATAATTATACAGTTGTTCTATTTTTATTTATTTTTATGTAATTACTGAAATAACCAATTATAAGACACCAGCATGAGTTGGTTTACTGTTCAGTCCTTACATAAACATGTGCTCTGATCTACATTTCGAGCTCTACCAATTGAGTTGAAAATAATATTTATTCTAGCCACATTTTCTTTTGGAACAGAAAATCCAGTTAATAACCATGCCTGTTTAAAACCTGCTATTAAAATAAATGTAAACAGTCCAATAAGCAATTTGGATAAATGGATGAAAATCCAGGTTCTATGAACAAAATATTTCATTTATATAACATGAGTTTARGCCTAATAAATGGATATGGATTGATCTGTACAGTAAAAACACAAGACTCTTCCCTTAGGTCTTGTGACACTGACATCAAAATGTCAGTGTAACTAAACAAAAGATTTGGCTATGAACACACACTATATTTTTTTAATATGATAAATTAACGACGATAAATTAGGAACCCTCCAGAATAAATGCGTTGTAGTTCATTGTGACGAACCCGAAGAACAGTAAAAATAAAATAACGTGATATCCATTATTTTAAGCTAATGGGTATCAATGCTAATGGTAGTCGTTATTTTTCAGCAAATTTCTGCTACAATACAAAAACACACACCTGCAGTGAGTAGACAACTAAAAATCCACTAAATAAAGGACGAGGCTGTATTTTGGTCTTCATGTCTTCTCCTGCATTGCTGCTTGTGTGCTAAACAAGACTTAGGCGGCTGCAGGCGCTAACTTTAGCAGGAAAAACGTACTAAAGGCGATATTCGTTTTTCCGGTAAAAACACCAGTGAGATTACAACTAATATTAAATCCGGCAAAATGAAAACGAGTGATAAAATATTCAGGCAATGAAATGTTTTAAATCCGTCAAGGTCTTCAGATAACCCTCTGTTATTATCGACATATGTTTGTTGCTTATCGGAACGTTTTCCGAGCTGCACACAACAAACCTGTACTACGTCATTTTCTCTTGAGGTCTTCAAATGAGTTTTTTCCCCCACTCCTTTTTTTTTTTTAAACATTTACTTTATAAAGTAGGCAATGGACAACAGTGCCTGCTTTTTTTGTTTCATTTAACATTTCAATTACACTGATACAATCTGTTTATTATTACAAATGTCTGTTTATCAATAATAGCTATGTTCAAAATTAAAATAGAATCATTCACTTTTTAATTTCCATTTTTTTTCTTTTCTAGGTGATATTTTGGGATTTATTTCAGAATTCCACAAATAGTCCTGTTTTAATTAGGATTGAGGTGATGTCAGGGTTAAATGCACTTAATTGATAAATGCTTATTTTATTATCAGGATGAGAAGCTTGCATTATGTCCTACTTTGCACGTCAATGTTTTTCTGAAGGCAGTTTTTGTCTTTTTGAATCATCATCAGTGCTTTTTGCCACGTTTCACAATAACACAAATACAGATATATTTCGGTTTACAAAAACAGAAAGGCAACAACCTTATATAAAAAACTCATTTATTAATAACAGTCTCTAACGTACATTGTAAATATGAAACAATAAAGATACAAACACATTTTGGCAGATAGTTTGGAACAAGAACAATACATTTTGGCAACACAAAACAACTTAAAGCTGCTTCTAAAACAGAGAAGTAGGAAAATTTGTTGYCTACAGTATGCATTAAGACAAAGTATGTCTATCACCTGATAAGAACTGAAAGAAGAGTACAGCAATTATACTAATTTCTTTTTTGACAAGATTCACAGTGGAATATATTGCAAACATAACACACTACACTGTGTGTGTCATCTTTTACAAGTTTTGGTATTATGGGAAGAGGTTCACCTTTCCAAAACAGCAACATGTAATAATGCACAATCCACTTCAAGAGAAAAGTATTTAAAGTGCAGGAAAATGAACAAGATGAATATTATACAACTAAAACAATTTCTCAAAATATATCACTTATCAAAATTCCTACTAAGGCCCTCATTTACTAGATGCTCTTTAGAAATTAAACTGCTCAGGTAGTAAAATGAATTCTGAAATGTACCTTAATAATTGTAATCAGCAGTGTCATCACCAGAAACCCTGTCAAAATAAAACAGGTTTTTATCCTTTGAGTTTTCAGTCAACTACTAATACTTTTAATTTAAACACTTATATTTTCAAAATGCTATTGCTAGTAATTTAAAAAAGCAAATAGTACAAAATGAGAAAAAAATGCATTACTGATAAATGGACCTTTGGTATTTCAAGACTAAAACAAAATTTGAACATGAAATATTTTTGAACACTATTGGACACATGAAATTAAAATTCACAGAGATTAAATATAAAAYACTGATGTGATATTACCTGAACATCAATAACGGAAACTTTTGAAATTACTATTTTTTTTCACAGTAAAATTAGAGAATATTAGTATGAAAGTAAACATTTACCTTTTTTTTATCCAGCTGTAATTTACTTTATGTACAGTTCATATAATACAAAAAAATGTTAGGTATTAATGTGAGGTTATTGTAATAAACTGAGCTATATAGTACTGAAAAAAGCCTGTAAAAACTGTAGAAAAAAGAGCCCTTTGTAGCCCCACTAAGGCACAWACCTGAATTAAATACAGAAAGGTCCACTCTTATTTTCACAAGCAAAAGATAAGAGATTTAAGGCTGCATGATTAATAATAATCTTATGGCATGATGCATTGTTTAAATTTGTAATGCTCTGGCACCCTTTAAAGGTTGATCCATCCACAAAAACACTAACGCTGCTTTAGGCCACTGTTGTGAGCAAGAAACCTAAAAACTACTATTTGGTGTGATGCACCAACAAGGACATAAATATCTTTCCAGTTTTTAAGGTTTCTGTTGTGCTATTTTTGTGTTTACCATAAGGAAATAAATACAAAAAAACCCATCAATAGATATGAGGAGATATTATTTCCAGTATAACTTTCCAGTAAACCCAACGTGCAGTTTGTTGTATAAAATAGTGATTGGTCAATACTTGTGTGCTGACAGAAAACTGTCTGTTACACAGACTCTTTAAATCCAGATCTTTAAACCTGATGCTGCCAAAGCAACACTAATTTCATTGCAAAGTTACTTCCTACATTTAAGCCCAAAAGTCTGAACTTTTCCTTTCAGTGCTGGCAGAAGCAGAAGAAAAAAGCTTTGCATTTTTTTGGTATTCTTAGTGAAGCACAAGCAGAAGTCCAAGTGGGAGTAAAAGGCAGAGAGGCCACGTTCCCAAAACAGAAGGGGCTCTATTCTGCCCTTTTTCTTTCTGCTCACAGCCGTCACCTTTATACCCAGTGTAGCACTGGCACTTGAAATGTTTACGGAAAACAAGCAGCTCGGCTTGGCCAGGCTTTCCTGTCACCTKGAACTGGCCGTTCTGACTCGTAATCCTGTGTGTCGACGCACTGAGGTGAAGATACACATCGCTGTCCACTACTTTGCGCTGACAGCGGCCGTGGAATTTACACAGCACCTGGCTGCACTGCTCCGCTGCCTTGGTCACGTTGAGGAGGTAGCGCCCCAAAGGTCCCATAAGATACTTATTCAGGGTGGTGCAGCTGGTCTGCAGGAAAGACAAGGAGAAATTAATCCTAAAGCACTGAATGGCAGCCTGTTCAGCATCAGGTGAGATGAGTAGATATCCATTCTTACATTGCTCGCGTAGGAAGTGTCTCCCCATAAGATTACACCTGCAGCTCCAAGTGCAACACTCTCACCAATGGTGTACACCAAATCTGTCTAAAAGATAGACACAAATAGTTCAGGTGAGTAACAGAAAAATAATCACACATATAGTCCATATTACATTTAATATCCAATACAGTTTACAGCTAGTTTAATAACCCTCATCAAAAAGTATTTCATTTTAATCTGGTAAGTAGAGATTTACTAACTCCCGCCCAGACACAAACACACGGTTTTCTGCAAAAGATGTGTCACCCCTCATTTTCTGAAATTCTGAATTAGGTTTGTGAAATTTCGAATGAACAAACTGTAACCACCAACTAACCTCAGTCAAAAGGGTCATCTCACTGTTGTAAGTTGGTCGAGTATAAACAAAAACAGGACGCGCTAATCCACCGCCAACAGACGCGAGGCGCATCGCCTCCTGCAACCTGTTCCGAACAAACAGGCGGCCGTAATCTGTAGATTTCAGAACGGAACCCATGTATATTGACGGGAAGAATGCTGTGCACTCCATCCACAACCAGTCCAGCTGATTGTTGCGGTTCACCTCCACAGGAGGACAGCGGCCTGTGTAGTTTTTCAGCCCAGCTTTGTAGTCATGGTTGTAACAATCTGGAAACAGGTAGAAGCCCCACAGCTGATTTGGTCTCAGATTCTTGGCAAGTTTCAGGGTCTCCTGCATGAACTTGCGAGCCGACAGCTCAAATTCCTGTTGTGCGACTTTCATCACTTGATCTGGGGTCCATTTAGGGTTCTTTTTGGCTACCAGTTCACGCGATTTACTTCTGTATATATCTTTGGAGTCCCAGTTTCGGATCCACAATGGACGCCAGTCCTCCCAGTCAATAACAGACAAACCTTTTGCCTTAGGGTTTGGTATGTACTTGTCTAATCCTGCAGGCATCTTTTCATAATGCTGCGTGAGACTGGCAAGCTGTGGAAGGCCTCCATTCACTGCAGTGCCTCCAGGCTCATAATAGGGATACAATCCAAGGCGTTCCTTATAGAACATTGTGAGATTCTGGCGGACAAAGCCCTCATTGGGGGTGGCCACAATGTCAAACTGTTTTAAAGAGAAAGTAACACCATGTCGTGTCCCACATTCCTGTGTTGGAGCGTTCCACACAAGAAGAACTGGCTTCTGGGAATATAAAGGCCATCTTGTCTGCTTTGAATCTGCTGAGCACACGACAGTCCACCGTGTGAACAGAGTCAGGAACAACCAGAACAGCTGGACAGCTGTGGTGAGGTGGAATACCGCCTCCATCATGGCAGACACTGCTCACCTTCACTCCTATATCTCTACAAGAAGAAAAGAAAATGTTTTGTGAAATTCGGCTCAAAATAAATAAACAACTTCAAACATCTCCATTCAAATAATTTTCCAATTCACAAGAAATGTGTAGCTTGAATTTTAAACAGCTTTAACAAACTTCTCAACTTAGGTTATACATTTATATAAAAAAGTTTATCATATTTAGTCAACTCAGTAGCATTAGACCTCTTTTTGAATTAAGTTATATTAGCTTTTTTAGCAGATGCAGAAAAAATAAGCTACTTTAGCCACATTAGCTCAAAAGTTTCATTGAAACTAGCTGTGATGCTAAACAACGGGTTTTCTCCTTCCTTCTCGGTCTGACCTGTTCTTTTGTCGCCAAAAATAAGGAGTAAAACCGTCAGATAAGTTAAATTTCCACTGCCCAGCCATGAGAAAAAGACCACTCGCTTCTCGCTTAATCCATTTCCACTGTTATKAAACATCTGCTGCTTGACAAACCGTGTTAGCGTTGTTAGCAGCCACATAGCAGGGCTGCTGAAGGTTGGGTAACAACAGACCAGCGCATTCATTGCATCGGAGGGGGGTATTTAAAAGGTTATTTTGCTGTATATCTTTGTTTGTATGGGTGTTTTTGGAACAATTTTTATAGTATCTTTTACTAAATTCTTAGCTTTAATAAAAATAGGGTTACATGAATATTTAAAGTAAAATTTAATTTTTTAAGTGACCACAAACACCCCCGCGACAGAACACCCAAATAGTTTGTTCCAGACGCGTTTTTTTTATCTTCATTTAGTCCTGCCACATTTATAATTAGTWAAAAGTGTAATGATAAGGGTAATTTGTTCCAAGTTCTGACAAAAGCAACAATAGTTCCATCCATATTAAGTTTATATAAATGTTTGTGTAAATATTTGAAAGAAAATTGTTTTTATGGGTAAATTATTTTTGGTATCACATGAATGACTAAAACAGGACTGTGTTTACAAAAMCTTAACAGTAGATTGATTTATTAAAATGATCAGTTATGACTTGTTTTTGAAGCTTTAGATAATTTTTCAGAGCTTTAGTTGTCATTCAAGGTTTTTTACTAAAAATGTTCCTCCATCATTTTAAATGTAAATAAGAAAGCATGAAATTTACTAAAGCAAGAACATTATTAAAGACTTTTTAAAAAAAATCATTGTTACCCAAATGTAATTATGTAGTCAGACGTAATTATTTATAAACCACTTGTTAAAACTATAAGAACTATGCAGAAGTATGCCGGCTCTGCAGTCAGCTACAGCTTTGTTTATTTGGTTTTTGTAGCCTTTTTGTGAAAAATCACATGTTTTGTATGTTAATATATAGATTGAGGATCAGTTCTGATTATGTTTCTCACCAGTTGTATGCTCCTCTTCAACTGTTTGATGAAATTCAGTCCAAGGGGTAATTTATCATCTGAACGCTCTCTAGTGAAGTTGTCTGGTCAGAAGCAGCTCATTCTGTCCTGAAACACAGCACCAACAGCTGTTTAAATATCCAGGACGCTCCTCCTCTGTCTGGCCTCTTCCTTACATGTGTACAAGGAAAATACTGACTTGATACTTTTACTGACTTTTACTTTTAACAAAAAGAGTACAAGTGCACCTCTTTTAATTCTAAAGTATTTACAAAGAAGTAAAACATTTGCACCTTTGGTCTTTGTTATAGTTTGTAAAGTTAGATGAAGACAAATTGGAATTCATTACATTGTGCCATTTTTAACTTTACCAAAATGCAGTAAAACTCAATGTAAACCACAAACCCTTAAAGTCCTCTGTGTAGCAAAGATGTCAGGCTTAAAAGTATCAAACCATGTTTGAAGAAAACAAACACCTCATTACAGCTGTCAAGCACGGTGGTGGAAGTGTGATGACTTGAGCTTGTGCTGCAGTCAGAAGATCTTGGTTCCTTTCAGTCAAGTGACAAACTCCTTCTGGTACCAAAGCATTTTAAAGTCAAATGTGAGGCCATCTGTCCAACAGCTGAAGCTTGAACAGACTCCCACAGAGCAGATCATTTACAGAATGACTGAAGGAACTGCTTTTCTGTTTGACCATATATGGGTAGTTCCTCAATCTTTATTGCTAAATTTGGCTCCTGTATCATAAGATGTCATTCTTTTTTTCACACATTGCTGACATATTTTGTATTGTGAAATTTGTCACGTTTTGTTCATTTATGAGGGAGTTTTTGTCTATCTTTACAACCTGGTAAGATCATCATACGTATATTTAATACAGGCCTTTTTAYATGGACTATATCGTGTATTTGACACCTTTGATTTGGATTTGATTTTGCTTCTGAAAATTTAACTAAATAATTGCCTCAGTCAGCACTGTAATACACTCAGTAAACAGTACAAGCCAATAAAGTATGAAGCAGCTTTGTTATATAGGCAATTTCAAAATAAGAGTACGTAAAATAAGAGGCGAACAAGACTTGTATTTTCATTCAGGTATATTGGGAAGAGAGCAAATGTGTTAGAACGTGTTTATTCTATGAGGAATTTAAGCAAATAATCTCTAAAAATTGAGTTTTTCGACCTAAACTTAATTTTGGATGTGTTCAAAAAGCAGTTTAAAAACGCAAACATTTCTGTATTAAGCACCAGGGCTATCTTTGAATTAAACCTTGTTTTGTGACTCCATATCTTAAAGTACTGTATGTCCATACGTTGGTCAGCAAAACGACAGGATGGGCGGACTGCTGAGTTCCTCTTTTTCTCCCCTCAAGACAGCGGTTCATGCCTGTTATTCCAGCTTTGTAAAAATAAACTTCAAGCCACTGGATGGCCACGCATCCCCCAGACCATAAAAGCACCAACAGAAGTTAAACAAACAAAGGACCTTAAAATAATTTTGTAGAAGCAATAATGTGGAGTTGGTCTTAGTCAGACCTCTTCATCCTCTAAGGAGAGCAATATCAGTCAGATTTGAGGAGCTCTCTGCTCCCACGGTGAGAAGATGACCTTCTCTGGGTGTATTAAAAGATGCTCATCTACACAGAGGTTTGTCTTTGCAATTTCCTCCACAGATCGTTTGTTGAGCATCGAAAACATTTCCCCAAAATCCTGACTTCTTTGTTATTATTATTGAAGATTAAATGATAAATGTGAGTTTGACAAATAAAAGTGCTGGACCTCCAATAATTCACAATTTAGCTTAGACTACTTGAATTGTTATTTTTTAATCTCCATCAAATCGTTATGAAGTAAATAAAACAAATTCTTAAGTAAACGCACTTTAAAACTCCTACTGGCATGTACAAATGAAACAAAGGGTCACCATTTGAATTTGTAATTAAAAAAAATTGCTTTAATAAATTAAATGGGAAACACATTACGCCCAAGCAGCAAAGAAAACAACAGGATCTTGCTGCTGTTCTGTCTGCATGTGAGCGAAGTCACTGAAACAAGTCTTTCAAACTTTAGATGATTTTAATCCACTGTAGATCTTCGGGGCTTCTGATTGTCAACTCCATAGGCTACTGCCTACAAGCTGATCCTGCTTCATGCATTAAAGCAAGTCAAAACAATGACAAAACTTAAAGTGTGCGCAGACAGATTCCTCATTTTACGTACAACCATAACAAACAGACAAAGTATTGGTTATATTTTTAAACTCACTGAGTTCATTGATTCATACCAGAAAATAATCTGCAGCAGAACAATTTAGAAATCTTTCAGGTGTCACTCTGTGTCTGCACACGTTCACACTGACATGCACACAAACCACGATCTCTAGAAACCGGGAGGGTTTGTTTTGTTTTCCACATCCCTCCTGGTGGCCTACCCTGTGTCTCGCTGCACACAAGCCAAACCCAGATCACATGCAGAGACTTGGTGCTCGACGCTTCAGCCGTTCCACACAGGAGCATCAGAGAAATCAAGAGATCACACTTTTTAACGTTGATTCTGGCTTCCATCTGCGAGTGGGGGAAACCACAAGGCCGAGGTGACACAGTGGCTTCTGTCAGTCAGGATTCCCAGAGGATAACTGGGAAGTCTACATGGATACACGGGTGGTCCAGCTTTATAATTCCCTGGAATGACACATGAGAAACTTCAATGATTTGGACTGACCAGCAAAGTGTGGTGATGAGTTTCTCTTCAACATGGGTTTGCTCACCTGAGGTGTCAAGTTTTTCTGTATCCTCTTCAGCTTGGCCTTTTTACGTCCGTTTTTTGTCACAATTGTCTCCTCGTAGAACTCGTGGGCCAAGTCACCGTCTTCATCGAAGAACATAGAGCTGCAGCATAAATGAATAAACAAAAGTGATTCCAATGCAAATCTTGTATTGTTAAACTACAGTTGGTTAATCAGAGTGTTGCATCTGTTTTGTGCAAGTTTATGAAAGTGTATGAAGTTGCAACAATGTGGTAAGATGGTTCAAGAGGTTAACAATATATAACCCTGTTATAATTCATGCTAATGTTTATACTAAATTCACATTTACCTTCGTCTGGTTAACACAAAAGGTGTTGCACCTGGGAAGCTTCGCGCTCTCGTCAGCGACTGCTCGTTCCCATCTTTGGATGGCTCTTCCCCACTACCTGAGCCAGAAAACGGCCAAAATCCTTTGGATTTGGAGCCACTACCCCCCATCTTCAGCTACAGCACATTATTTTCCTGAATCACACGATGTCCAGTGGTGATACAGTGTTACTGTACTAAATAATGGGACTCTTAGTGAAGGATATCCTGCGGACAAAAAGAGGGACATGGAGAGGAAAAACTGTGTCATTTCAAGCATTCAAGTTTACCCGATAAAATCATTTTGAAACATTTTCTAAAGCAAAACTTGAACAGTAAAACACTAAAAAACAGATCTTGTGTTCAGCAGTTTGATCTTCAATCCTGTGTTGTGTGTAACTGTTGTGCAGACTTTTTGTTACTATATAAAAACATTTTATAGATTTATTATTATGATTGTGTGTGTGTGTGTGTGTGTGTGTGTGTGTGTGTGTGTGTG